AATCTGGATTCTTGTCCAAAATTAGTTGATACAGAGCTGCATTGGTAAGTTTTGGTGGGAAGACGACTCCGTGCCCTGTCAACCAGTCGGTGAGAACACTTTTTGTACTGTACCGGCTCGGTACTGGATCCTGAATAAAAACGAGGCAACCAAGCAGTTTTAGTGTAATTTTAAAGTCGTCGCTTGCACTCTGTGTTACGACAAAAATGGAGCGACTTTCTCTATCATTACCTTAACCTTAGAATGATATGATGCGTTGTCCATCACAATCACAGTGGGGCGCCGTAGACCCTCGAGAAGATCTTCGAACCAAGGGTGGAATACTTCACTGCACATCTCGTCATGATGTGTTCCTCGCTCGATTTTCTTCGACTTCTTAGCTTTAAATACTAGCTTGGCGTTAGGCACAAATCCAGTGTCTCCACCCGCATGTAAAAGAACAAATCGTCCACCTTTTCCTAAAATTGAAACCACGAGTGTTATTCACTTCTGATGACACGTGTATGGACACTAAAAAAAGTAATATATACCGTACCTGTTTTAGTTTTAGGCCCTGTGGTTAGGCCATCCAGAAACGCCTGGCGACTGCTCTTGATACCTGTATCGTACCAAGTGCATGTCGTTGTGTGTCTCTGGTTTACGTACGACTCATCAAGGTAAATGATATCGTACCCCTCACTTCTGTACCTCTTCACATTTCTTAGATAATTTTGACGCCAGATAACAAGATCATCTCTTTCGAGAAGAATGCTGTTCCGATGACGTTTCATGTATCGGAATCCCATGTCATTCAGAGCTCTCCTCACAGTCCGCTGGTTGAAAGGCGGAAAAAGGTCAGATTCTGCCATTGCATTCGCCACTCTTTGGGACGTCACTACTTTGTTTTCCCGATACATTTGATGTACAAGTCTGCGCATGTCACTGTAGAACCATTCGCCGTAAATGTCAACTCGTCTTTTGGCCTTCGTGTCAGGGCGTACCTTTCCCGGAGTGACGGTCGGCAGCCCTGTTCGTTAAAAAAAATTAATAGAGATACATTCAGAAGCAATATAAAGCACATGTTAAATTTGCCTTTTTTACCAGCATTAATTCTCTTCTTGGTTCTGTAAAATGTCCTTTCGCTCACGTCAGTAAGTTCCACAATTTCTTTTACGACATCTTTCCTGGGAATGTCTAGATTTTTAAGACGCTTCTTTGCGTACATGTGCACGATCAACTCCCTGATACTGCTGTTCACCCTCTTTTTCTTTCTATCCATGAGGTACTTCTGAGGGGAATCGGGCGAGCGACTGTATTGCTAAGAATGAAAAAATGCTTTGTCAAACTACGGGTTCAATTTTTTTAAAATTAAAGTGCTGGCCATTTAAAAGTGTGCCACAGCTGTCACGAAAGCGTGGCCCGCGATACGACAACAACAACAAA